TACCCACTTACACTACGCGTGTAAGAGGCGACCGCTTCGTTTTTGTGTATTATGAAGGGACGCCGCAGCAGCAAGCCGGAGAAGAAATTAGGGTAACAAAAAAGAGCATTTTTCGTCGGTTAAATGATTTTTTTCAGGTTTTTAAGCCCCCGAATTATTTGCCAATATTTTAGAAAATGAACATAATTTCATTCGAAAGCTTTAAAAACAACAATTCAAGTAGCCTTCTTTCCACAAAGGAAGCCTCTCCATCTATCTGGTGTACTTTTCAAGCATTGCATTGCGAAGAACGTTCCATGAACACGACCTCCTTCTGTCTTGCCACCTGGCACCCACAACCAAAGTTGACCACAATTGTTAGGGACGCCTCTGAAAATTGAAAACAGTTTTTTTAGAACTTCAAGGACTTTTTCACTGATAAGCTCCATTGTTTGGTTCTCGAGGGCTCCAGACGATTCCTTCCATTCCAGTTGTAAATTGGTCAGTTGTGTACCAAGGCTGAAAATAATATTCGAAGACATCCAAGTTGGCTACTTTTGACTGAACGAATCTCAAGCTTAAAACCCACCGTTCCAATTGCATCTCTCCTCAATCCAGTTCGAATTGTTCCAAACTTCCATCCAGTTGGTAGCATTTGATTAAGCCCAATGTTTGCAACAATACTCCTTTCTTCTGCATTCTCAATTGATGACAGTGTGGCTCCTTGAGTTCTACAGGAATTTTCAGCATCTGCCTGGCCAAGGGCTCCAGGGAATAATTGAACACACCAGGCGCCCATTTTCCTATTGAAAATAGTCCATCCAGTGGGACAGGTTGGAGTTGGTTTTGGGGTGGAAACTGGGCGAGGAGGAGGTCTTGGCCGACCGCCACCTCCATGGTGGCCTCCATGCACAGGTGGATCGCGCAGAACACTATATGGGCGCATTGTGGCCCATACTGTGAATGCGCGCATATAGCGTTCGTTATGCTCTCTATATGGGCTGGTGGTTGCTGGTGGGCGGTGGTGGGCGTCGAGTAAGCAGGGAAAGCATATGCCCAGTCCGTGCTCGCATATAGGTTCCATATTCCCTCAACATTCTAATCACGGAAACCTGATGGCATTTACAGAACATGTAAATGCTTTTTGCAGAAATAATAGCTTGAAACTCTTCTCTTGATATTCTCAGGATAAAATTGTTGGTTCCCTAAGAATTGTATTTATGACTGTTGACTATCGAAAAATAGTGTTATCGGGGAAAAGTAGTTAACCAAGACAGATGATCGGAAAACATATACAGGTGCTGGATTTTAGGCTTGGAATTTCATTAAACTTGATGGGAATTTTGTCTTTGAAAAGTTCAACATTTTCTGCAGGCTGTGTTGCGACGTTTACTCCAAAAAAACCTGTCAAAATCCGGACTTTATGTTACCATAAAATGCCCTTATGCTCTGTCTGCTTATTTTACATCACAATATTCTATATTTCGACATGAATCGGATTTTTTTGCCCATTTAATTTGGTAATTCCGCTGAAAAAGTACACACGACGCTCCGATATCCCGCATCGCGCGTTGTTTACCGTAAATCTACACTCAGATTTTCAATGAATTTGCAGATATTTTTGCCTATTTTTGTTCGATTTTCTTTGATTTTTTTTACGATTTTAAAGGTTTTTTTACAAATTTTTCACTTGCGAACTCATTTTCATCGTTTCTAGCCGTTTTCCTCGTTTTTCTACACATAAATTCCTGAAGAAATAATTATTTTAGGCCCACCGATGGATTCCAACGCCTCGCATGTCTATCTAAAGCTAAAAACCAGAAGTTTTCTGCGGATAGCTACAGGTAAGAAACATGCATGACATTCAGTTTCTCACTGACTTCATTTTTCAGAAGCAGAGCTCAGAATTCGGTGACAACTAGACCCTTCACCGTCTCCACTGGCCACACGACAAGTGAAAGAAACAGCACCGACAGAAAAACGAAAAGGTTAGCGAATTTTGTGTTTGAAACGCTCGAAAATAATTCGATAAAAGAACACCTGCGAAATTGTTTTGACTGAACTTGTAAAGAGCATTCTACTCTTGTGTCTATGACTCCAGTTCTTTGCAGCTTTCGAAACATGATGAAAAACGTGCCAAGATTTGCTAGAGGTATCGCTTCACACGAAATTCAGCTCTCTCAATAAATCATGTATACGAATTTGCAAAAGCAGCTTCGTTTTCTAAGTACTAGGATTGACAAATTTTCGCTGTGAATACGTAAAACTATCGAAAATTTTCAAAATATATTCAGTTTTTCAGAAAAAAAAACAACCAAGAGCAGCTTCTCGATTGGACTTTTGTCTAATGGATACAGTACTGGCCAAAAAGGTATTCGCAAACGGTTTTTTGAGAGTAACTTTGCTGAAACTTAAGAGATCGATCTGAAAATTTTACTGTGCATGTCGTACACGGTGACGACAAATTGCGTACAAGGAAATTGCATCATTTTCAGAAATTTTTTGTTTTTTTCAATTTTTTCGTTTTTTCACTTTTTTCATATTTTTATATTTTTGGATATTATGGTTTCTAAGAATGTTGGTTTTGGCTCCTATGTATTTAAAACTGTTTACAGACATGGCCAGACCCCTCGGAAAAAAACATCTCTCAGGACATCCGTAAAGCCATCGTCATCGGCTTCAGAAGTGGATGTTCCAAGGACCTCTAGGCGCAGCAGTTCAATGTTACTAAACGTGCCATCGAGAAGATCTTGAAGCAGTTTCGGGATGAGGTAATATTCAAAAATAGTATAGTTATGGAAAAAAATGTTTAGGGAGCCTTGGTGGAGCGAAAATCGCCTGGAAGACCGCGTATCACGTCGAAGAACATGGATCGGAACATCGTCCGAGCTTCAAGAGAGGATCCCCAGAGGAGTTCTACGGACATTCAGATGGTCGTGAAGACTCCAAATGAAGTCACACCATCCTTGAGAACCGTCAGAAGACGTCTTCAAGATGCTGGACTCCATGGACGACGGCCAGCTAAGAAACCATCGATCAGCAAGAAGAACAGAATCGCCCGCGTAGCATGGGCCAGAGCTCATCTCCACTGGGGACGTCAGGATTGGGCTAATCACGTGTTCAGCGACGAATCCAAGTTCAATCTGTTCGGTACTGACGGTATCAAGTGGATTCGCCGTTCGGTTGGATGTCGGTTCGATCCCAGCTACCAGCTCCAAACCGTCAAGCATGGAGGTGGATCGGTGATGGTCTGGGGCTGCTTCTCTGGGACTTCAATCGGCCCGCTGAGAAGAATTACGGGCATCATGGATCGCTTTGTGTATGAAGACATCTTGGAGAACACAATGAGACCCTGGGCACGGTCTACTGTGGGCCGGGCGTTCGTTTTCCAACAGGATAACGACCCGAAGCACACCTCGAAGCACATCAAGGAGTGGTTCCGACGCCGCCACGTGGATCTTCTGTACTGGCCAAGTCAATCTCCGGACTTGAATCCATCGAACACCTCTGGGAGCATGTCGAGAGACAGCTTAGAGGGATCCGTGCCTCGAATGCCAACCAGAAGTTCAACCAACTCCAAGATGTCTGGCAGGCCATCCCGATGTCTGTCATCGACACCCTTCTCGACTCGATGCCAAGAAGATGTCAGGCGGTAATCGACGCCGAAGGCTTCCCAACGAAGTACTAAAGCTATTTTATTCATTTTCTATTGTTATTTTTCGTTTACCGGTCTATCCTAGATCTCAGAAGTCAAAGTTCCATTTACCGGTTCTTTGCAATTTTCATGAATTTTTCGATTTTTTTTCAATTTTTTGAAATTTTGACTATTCTTGTTGTTGAATCAGTTTCTTTTACCGTTTTAAACTTTGTCTTAAAATATCAGATTGATCCGGGAAGTTTCAGAAAAGTTATGCTCGAAAAACTATTTGCGAATACCTTTTTGGCCAGTACTGTATAAAGAGGGAGAAATGCGACGAAAATATCGAGTCCAAGGAGCCAGGAGACAAAAATGTTAATTTTTTATTTTTATGTTCTTTTTACTTCATTTTTTGTCATTTTTATTAACTTTCAATAAATTTGTATTGGTAAACTCTATTTTCAGTTTACAGAGAATATTAGGACCTGGGGGAGGGGAGGAACTGCTGCGCGGCGGCGTGGATCCTATATGCTTTGGTCGGCGCATGGATCCTATATGCTCGCACAATGCGCCCACATATGTTTCGTATTTCGAGCATATACAACACCGCGCGATCCCATATAACGTTCCTCGCGATCCACCTGTGTGATGATGACCTCCACGTCCTCCTCCACGGCCTCCGCCACGTCCACCACCGTAGTCAGAAGAATCCGAAGAATCAGAAGAAGAAGAATCCGATGAATCATAAGAAGAAGAAGAGGATGAAGATGAAAATCCAGAGTACTTAGACTTCCCTCGCTTCCCACCAAGTTCAATTATCGCGTTGGCTAAAAAGATTTTGTAAAATTGAAAAATGGAAATGTTCGAAAACTTACCTATACAAAATAGCGCTCCTAGGAGCAATACCAAATACGTACAAAAACAATATCTTCTAGTTTTCTTCGAAACTTTTATTTGTCATACTTTTATGAGCCCAAAATAAAAAGTGGGAAATAAAATGAGAAGTTTGATGCGTCTTTTGAAAAATCGTCTCTGATCTATCGATGTCACTTGAGATGAAATTTCATTAAAAATGGGATACACAACAACAAAAAAATTAAGAATTCATGAAGACTGGAGCCTTATACATAAAGAAAATTGATGTTAAGCTCTTTAATAAAGTTCCGTAACTTCTAATACGGTATTAAAATCCGTGATTTTTGATAACTTCAAATTTGATTAGTTTTTCGATTCTGAAAAAGATTGACACGGTATTGTGAGAGATATCGAAAAGTGGTGAATTATCAAAATACTCGTTGCGATTTCGAATATTTATCTTTATATTTTCTCATCCCGTTAGAATAATTATGATCAAACATTTAAAGGTGGGGGCACAGGAGATTTTACGGGGGATTTTTGGGGCCAGAGTATGCATTCTACCGTGACGGTGTACATCGCTTAATGTCACTCTGCGTACAGCTGTCGTCCTCGCCTTTATGTATGCAATCGAGGTGCCGCTCTCTCTTTGCCCGCGTAGCTCAGTCGGTAGCGGCGCCGCACCCCCAATCCTTGTCCTCACAAGTTCAACTCCTCCAGGGGCATATTTAGACGGAATATCGAGAACATTATTTTTTTCATGTCCCCCCACCTTTAATGAAAACTTTAAGAAAAAAAGGAAAAATTTTATTTAACAGCTGCAAAAAGATAACAATTCAAGTAGCCTTCTTTCCACAAAGGAAACCTCTCCATCTATCCGGTGGACTTGTCATGCACTCCATCGCAAAGAACGTTCCATGAACACGAGCACCTTCTTGTTTGCCTCCTGGTACCCACAGCCAAAGAAGGCCGCAATTGTTGGGGCGGCCTCTGAAAGTTATGAAACATTTTTTCTTAGACCTTCGAGGGTTTCCTCACTGCCAAGCTTCATTGTTTGGTTCTCCAGGGCTCCAGACGATTCCATCCATTCCAGTTGTAAATTGGTCAGTTGAGTGCCAAGGCTGAAGGTTTTTGATAGAAACTAGCTAGATTTCAGTGGCAGATGTAAAAAAGTTGTTCCTGGGAATGTTTTCAAGGTTTTCTTGTGGTTTGGTAAAATTATCAATCGAGTAGCTCAGTCGGTACCCAATTTAAGCTACGCAATAACAAAGTCGGCCGACCTATGCCCTGAATAAGCGTGGTGCGCTGTTTTGACAAAATTATGGAGCTCACACTTAAAACTAGAACATTAAACTTGCATAATCAGATTATTAGACCTAAATTATCAGACACGCTTACACTTAGCCTAATCGAGACTGTTACGTCTCAAGCTCCAAACCCACCGTTCCAATTGCATATCTCCTCAACCCAGTTCGAATTGTTCCGAACTTCCATCCAGTTGGTAGCATTTGATTTAGCCCAATGCTTGCAACAATACTCCTTTCTTCTGCATTCTCAATTGATGACAGTGTGGCTCCCTGAGATTTACATCCATTTTCAGCAGCACCCTGGCCAACAGCCCCAGGGAATAATTGAACACACTATGCGCCCATTTTTCGATTGAAAAGGGTCCATCCAGTGGGACAAGTTGGAGTTGGTTTTGGGGTGGAAACTGGGCGAGGAGGAGGTCTCGGCCGACCGCCTCCTCCATGGTGGCCTCCATGATGATGCCCTCCACGTCCTCCTCCACGTCCTCCTCCACGACCTCCTCCACGTCCACCACCATATTCGGAAGAATCCGATGAATCGGAAGAAGAAGAAGAAGATGATGATGAAAATCCAGAGTACTTAGACTTCCCTCGCTTTCCGCCAAATTCAATTATTGCGTTGGCTATAAAGATACTATAAAATCCAATAATGGCAGAGTTTAAGAACATACCTATACAAAATAGCGCTCCTAGGAGCAATATCAAGTATGTACAGCGCATCGAATCCGATGGAAACCAATTTTCAAAAATTTTCTTCGTAACTTTTCTTCGTCACATTTTTATAGATCTAAAATAAAAAGTGGGAAATAAAATGAGAAGTTTGATGCATCTTTGAAAAGCGTTACCGATCTTTTAAAGTTTCAGGGGGAATTTCGGGAAAAGAGCGATTTTTAAAAAATTCAAAAAAGTTAAAAAATTATTTTTTTTATCTAAAAAGTGAGAAAATAGTTTAAAAAAACTATTTGTATTTGAATTTATAGTTAAACGAAAATTCGACCATGAGCCTTAAAAACTGGGATGAAATTGAAAAAAAAACGACTGGAATTAAAAGAAAAATTTAAAATCTGAAAATTTTTAATTATGAATTTTCGCGGTTCTGAAAGTCTCTCCATTTTTTAAATGCTATTTTCTAGCTTTAAACTTTCAAAAAAATTTTGTCATTCGAATTCGAGAATTCATTTCTTACAGCAAATTAAATGATTGAAAATTTATCCATTGATTGCGAAAATTTTGGTTGATCAGTTCGATTTTTCGATTTTTCCCCCCAATGAATCATGCTGATCACCCAAAAAGTTGTTCGATCAGGATCACTTATTTCAAAAGTTCCCACTTTCATCAAAACAACAGACAACCAGAGGTTATCAGTTATTTTTTTCTTATCAATTTCATTATTTTCCCTCAAAGCAGCTGATATGATAAATTCTTTTTATTTTGGTCTGCAACTTTTAAAAAAATTAATAAAGGTCCAGAAGCCCTCAATTCCTAAGGTTTCACATTTTTTACTTTTACCCATCAGAGTTATTTTCAAAAAAGAAAAATAGGAAGAGATCAAACATCAATTTGTTTTTATTCTTTTTTTGAGGGAATCGCGGTGGTCTGTTGTGATGTCATTTCTCTCTTTCTCTCGTCGAGAGGTCATATGGATACAGAGAAGAAAAAGAGAAAACAACATGTTTTGATTGTTGACAATTTCTTTTAAATATTGGGTGGAGACAGAAAAATAGAGACATTTAATTTCCTTGGGTTCTTCTCATTTTAATTTTAGATCAACTTTTGATTTTTTAATTTTTCCTTTCAGTTGAATCGACCTCTGATTTTTTTCTATTTTTCTAAAAAATATACTTCCTGTGGAATCTAAGTTCAAATGTTTTATCTTCTGACTTGATACCAGAGTTTTTATCTTAAGGCTTAAAATTCTGAATTTCCAGAACTTTCTCCCTACATTCCTTCTTCACAATGGCCATCACTTGCGACGACATTATCAAATTCCTTTTTGCTATTCTATTGCCTGTAAGTTCTTATTTTAGATTTTCCTTTTTCAAATTTGGATTAAAAACATCTAAATTTAGCTTCTAGCTAGTTTTACGTGCACTTTGAGCTAATTTATCTTGGTTCCTGTAAGAGATATTGAAAAGTTGTAAACTAATAACTTGTTTATCATAATATTATCAATATTTTATTAGTTGACACATAGGGTTTCCATTTGGGCGAGTGAAGAAGCGGGCTACCCACTACCCACCCGGGGGGCTCCCACCCGCGGCCCCCCGCGGCCCCCCGCAATTAAATGCGTGTGAATTTTAATAAAATTTTAAAAGATAATCACGTATTTTCCAAGAAAAACTGAGTTTCTCAAATCAAAAAACTACAAAAAAGATAATATTTTCCTCACGTAAATGTTCGCGGGGGGTCAACGGGGCCGCGGGGGGTGANACCCCCGGGTGGGTGCGGGCGGGTGAATCGCCCTCCAAATGGAAACCCTATTGACACATTTTTGATATCTTTCACGGGATCCTAGATATTTGAATTCAAAGTGTACGTATAGGGTGGGCTTCTATTAGAGCAAATACGGTATTTTAAAGTTTACGACTTTTAGGTATTCTTTGAAAATAATTATGCCGCTAAGACACATAAATTCCTGCTTAAATCTGATGAATTTTAGCTCCAATTTTATGGAATTTTACCTACTTTTCATAAAAATTAGCCTAAATTTTCACATGAGTCTTTATAAAAAACCTTTCAATTTTTTTAAATTTCAGCCACTCGGAGTGCTTTTGGAAACTGGATGTGACTATCATCTTGCCATCTGCATCTTGCTAACAATTCTCGGATACATTCCTGGTATTATCTATGCAATCTTTGTGATTATTGATAAGTAAAATGTGAATTCTAACGATGTTTTTTTCTCTAATCTCATGTACTTAATTGCCTTGTAAATTGCCTTGCCGATTGAATGAAAAATTGTTTATAATATTCTATGAAGTTTTTGAAAACGTTACAAACAAAACCAAAGTTATGTGTTTTTCTAAAAATTTGTTTACCACTTTTCGAGTATGATCCGAGTTTTGTCCGTTTCATATATGTCGTTTTTCTTTTGCTATTCTGTCTCATCTGTGTATCATCGTATGGCCCAAGCCTGTCCTTCGTCCGTTTTTCATCCGTTTTTGCCCGATTTTTCGCGAGTAGACTTTTTCCGGTCCTTCCGATTCCTGTCCGTCTGTTCATCAACAACTTTTAGTCAGTTGTTCTTCTAGATATTGTCAGTTCTGTATGGTCCATATATTGCTTGTCAATGTACTTGCTTATCGTTCTGTCGCGTTATTTTGTCCGTTCTTCCGCTTTTTATCTGTTTTACGTCCGTCGTTTTAGTTTTAGACGAGTTATCATCCATTCTAGTTCGTCTAGTCCGTCTGGTCTCCTGGTCAGTCAAGTCTCCATCTAGTCAGTCTAGTCCGTTGTCCTTCTAGATTTTGCCTGTTCCGTAAGGTCCATAAATCGCCTGTCTGTTTTTCTATCGGTTTGTCTGTTTGTCCCTTTGTCGGTCAGTTCACGCTTCGCTCATATTTTGTCAACTTTATGATCGTCAATAGTTTGTCTGACATTTTCCCGTTTTGTACTACCTTCGAAAGTTTCTCGTTCTTTTTCAGTTTTGGACTTTTTTTAGTCCAATCTAGTCCGTCTAGTCCGTCTAGTCCGTCTAGTCCGTCTAGTCCGTCTAGTCCGTCTGGTCCGTCAGGTATCCCGGTCAGTCTAGTCTCCATCTCTAGTCCGTTGCTCTTCTGAATGTTGTCCGTTTCGGAAGGTCCGTAATTCGCCTGTTCATTTATTAGTCCGTCTGTCTGCATGTCCATTTGTCTACCAGTTTCGTTCACTTTTTGATAACTTTTTGTCCAACAGTTTCCCGTCTTCTGTACTACGTTAATCGTCTATTATTCGTTCGTCCGTCATTTCAATTTAGGACTAGTTATCATCTTTTCTTCGTCTGACTTTATCCATCCATCGCGGTCCAGCCCCTCCAGCCCGTCCAGCCTGTCCAACACGTCTTGTCCGTCTAGTCTATTAGTTTGTCTAGTCCGTTTAGTCAGTCTAGTTTCCGACTAGTCCGTTGTTCTTTTGGATTTTGCCCATGCCATATAATCCTTAAATCGCCTGTCCAGGTTTATCGAAATTATTATCCGTCAGTTGTCCATGTTTTGTATTTCCGACGTTCCTAATCTATATGTTATCCGTTTGCCCGCTCTTTGTCCGTTGTACGTCTGTCGTTTTAGTTTTGGACTAATTACCCACTTTTATTTATCCTAGTTGATCTATCCATCGCTGTCTAGTCCGCCTAACATGTCTAGTCCGTCAAATCCGTCTATTTCGTCCAGTCCGTTCAGTCCATCTAGTTTATCTTGTCCGTCTAGTCCATCTATTGCTTATTCTTTTCCGTCTAGTTTGGTCTAGTTTAAATCTAGTCTACCTATATTTTGTCCGTTTGTCCTTTTATCTGTCTGTTTGTTTTTCCGCTCGTCCGTTTGTTCCTTATCTGTACGCCTGTTTTTTTCCGTTTGTTTAAAATATTTTAGTATCATAGTAATCACTCTCTCATAAGCAATCGAATTCCAAAAAATATGTCAAAAACTAGACTTAAATTCCTTAGTAGAACTCGGCGGTCTTTGGTGTCTATATTTTGTTTTCTTTTTTTCTCGCGCTAGGAGGCCAGAAATGCAAACAGAAGGACCAAATCAACATGTTGACTATGGAGCGGGTGCTTCCGATTCTTTAAAAATGGATGAGTATTGAGAATATTCTCCATTTTCAGTTTTTTCTTATTTTATTTTCGGTTCTTGAGAAATAGAAATTCTTTTTTGATTAAAGGTTCTGAATTGTCCGTATTTTTTTTAAATTTTCAGTGTCTTCTATTTTATGAAATTTCAGAAGTTTCGTAAATTCTGATCAATCATGGCTCTGACAGCTGATGACATCATCAAGTTTCTTTTTGCCATTCTTCTTCCGGTTAGTTTTTAAATTTTGAGTTTTTAGAAATTTTCAAAACTATTTTTACGCCTATTCCATTAGCCTAAACTTATTGAATCTCATTCGAAATATCATAGATTTCCAATTTTTGAAAGAAAAAATTTCAAACGATATTCGAGCAAAATTTTATGAGAATTTTAAACTTAATTTAATAAATTTCAGCCAAATATTTAATCAATATCAACTTATCTTTGAAGTTTAAACATCTCACATTTGAAGAATTTAAATCCTCGCCTTAATTTTACGATGTTTAGCTTAATTTTTATGGTGATTTTTCGCCCAAATCTGAAAAATTCCTGCTTAAATCTGATCAATTTTTGCTTAAATTTCATGAAATAAAACCTATTTTTCATAAATTTCAGCCTAAATTTTAACATGAGTATTTATAAAAATCCTTTCAATTTTTTTCCAATTTCAGCCCATCGGAGTTTTTCTGGAAACTGGATGTGACTATCATTTGGCCATCTGCATCCTGCTAACAATTCTCGGATACATTCCTGGTATTATCTATGCAATTTTCGTGATTGTCGAAAAGTAAATAGATTTTTTATTGATGTATAAACTTGTACATAACACTGTCCGAAATAAATTAATTGTGTAAAAAATGTGCTTAAATTAATTCCGTTTTTCTGAAAATAATGAATGAAAAGTATTACAAAAGTTACTAAATGACAAAATTCTCAAATTCTCAAATTCTCAGATTCGAATATTCCAAAATTACACATTTCAAAAATTACAAAATTCAAAAAAAAGTTTGATTTGATAGATTACTCCTTGATTCAGAATTGCTTTTTCTGGAAATATGGTTTCGGGAAGTTGAAGGATGAAGAGCCTGAAATTTCAAATTTCAATTAAAAAATCAAAAATCCCAATGTAAGCAACTCACTACTGTAGATTGACCAGTCGAAATAATGAAAAATTCCCTAACAGTTTTCTGATAATCCAATGACAAAAATAATATTAAAAAAGGTCGAAAAGTAGCACCGATACATTTGATAAGAATTGTTATTTCTGTAGGTAAAATTGAATTGTCTCTGGAACAATTTTTTAATTTGTGAATCAAAAAAAAAAATTATTACTGATTATCAAGTCCAGCCATCTTGGTTTCGAATAACCAAATATTAACGACTTCATAAAAAATGAAAGTAACCACAAATGACAAATGTAGGAAACAAATTAACTTGCAATTACTTTTCTTCACATTTTCCTTTGATTTCCAGTTCAATTTTATCAAATAAAACACAAAAATGAAGTTTAAGCCACGCTCGAGAAAAATAGAAAAGACTGTGATAAAATTCATTGTATTTGCAAAATCAGTCATCCAATTTTTCTCATTTTCCATATAATTTTGATACAAATTCTCTTGGCTACACTCGGAATACGGTAGCTGCAGGATGACGATTCCAGCAGAGATTATTTGAAGAAAAACAAAAAGAGCAGCAAAAAATACTGCAGCCAAAGCTACAGTAGCAGTAGTTTTAAAGGTCCAAATACTTTCTCCGATTCTCTTGAAATCGAAAATTTGCAAGAAGCACATTGAAATTATCATCCAATTAATAACATTATCACTTATGAAATAAATCGACTCTGTGAGAAATTTAAACAAAAGATCTGCTCGATTTACATATCCAAAACAGTTTCGATGGTCCACGAAGGTCACAATTTCTACGGTTTCAACTGTAAATCTTGTTGTGAACATCAGAAAATCAGAAATACTGATAACAAGTGAACCAATAGAAATTGGATAAGATCTGAGGATCCTGGAGAGAAAACCAATGTGGATTATATTGGTAACAAGTCCGAAAGCTGAGAGAATTAAAATTAGATATCTCAAAAGATAGGCAGTATCGAAGAACAATGGAGTAGCTTCAAAATTTGTAGAATTCATTATTGAAAAATGTGTTTTTGCCAAATTTATATTATTCGAATTCTGAAATGCATAAGTTTAAAACTCGTTTTTAAATGCTTAAATAATATATAGAATCAAAAGCTTAGAGTAAAAACGAAAATCCATATGGATGTTCCAAAAATAATTATTAGGTTTGAATTGATTTTTTTTAATTTTGAATCATTAAACAATGCTATTTTCTGTTGTGGACATTTTTGACATTTCAGAAAAAAGGTTCACAACATTTGTAACCTCGAATTTTTTTTTAATTGGGAGGTTAATTTCTTCATATTTTTATTTCGGTGCTTTTCATAAAAATCTGATTGAAAGGCTTGAAAAAATCTAGAAAAGTGAGTTTGAAACAGTGTCAAAAATTGCCTAGAATAAGGGAAAATAGAAAAAAAAAATGTTAAACCAGCATTTAAGATAAAATTTCCATCAAACATACATCCCGTTTCCACTCATACTTTTTATTTTTCCTAAACACTTTTCATCAGGAAAATAAGTCAGTGATCGTTTTAAGAACTAAAAATCTCAAAATGGATTTGTCTACAACCTCGATTCCAAAAGCCGACTAGGATAAATAAAAGAGGATAATTAGTCCAAAACTAAAACGACAGACGTACAACGGACAAAGAGCGGGCAAACGGATAACATATAGATAAGGAACGTCGGAAATACAAAACATGGACAACTGACGGATAATAATTTCGATAAACCTGGACAGGCGATTTAAGGATTATATGGCATGGGCAAAATCCAAAAGAACAACGGACTAGTCGGAAACTAGACTGACTAAACGGACTAGACAAACTAATAGACTAGACGGACAAGACGTGTTGGACAGGCTGGACGGGCTGGAGGGGCTGGACCGCGATGGATGGATAAAGTCAGACGAAGAAAAGATGATAACTAGTCCTAAATTGAAATGACGGACGAACGAATAATAGACGATTAACGTAGTACAGAAGACGGGAAACTGTTGGACAAAAAATTAACAAAAAGTGAACGAAACTGGTAGACAAATGGACATGCAGACAGACGGACTAATAAATGAACAGGCGAATTACGGACCTTCCGAAACGGACAACATTCAGAAGAGCAACGGACTAGAGATGGAGACTAGACTGACCGGGAGACCTGATAGACCAGACGGACTAGACGGACTAGACGAACTAAACGGACTAGACGGACTAGATTGGACTAAAAAAAGTCCAAAACTGAAAAAGAACGAGAAACTTTCGAAGGTAGTACAAAACGGGAAAATGTCAGACAAACTATTGACGATCATAAAGTTGACAAAATATGAGCGAAGCGTGAACTGACCGACAAAGGGACAAACAGACAAACCGATAGAAAAACAGACAGGCGATTTATGGACCTTACGGAACAGGCAAAATCTAGAAGAACAACGGACTAGACTGACTAGATGGAGACTTGACTGACCGCGAGACCAGACGGACTAGACGAACTAGAATGGATGATAACTCGTCTAAAACTAAAACGACGGACGTAAAACAGATAAAAAGCGGAAGAACGGACAAAATAACGCGTACTGAACGATAAGCAAGTACATTGACAAGCAATATATGGACCATACAGAACTGACAATATCTAGAAGAACAACTGACTAAAAGTTGTTGATGAACAGACGGACAGGAATCGGAAGGACCGGAAAAAGTCTACTCGCGAAAAATCGGGCAAAAACGGAGAAAAACGGACGAAGGACAGGCTTGGGCCATACGATGATACACAGATGAGACAGAATAGCAAAAGAAAAACGACATATATGAAACGGACAAAACTCGGATCATACTCGAAAAGTGGTAAACAAATTTTTAGAAAAACACATAACTTTGGTTTTGTTTGTAACGTTTTCAAAAACTTCATAGAATATTATAAACAATTTTTCATTCAATCGGCAAGGCAATTTACAAGGCAATTAAGTACATGAGATTAGAGAAAAAAACATCGTTAGAATTCACATTTTACTTATCAATAATCACAAAGATTGCATAGATAATACCAGGAATGTATCCGAGAATTGTTAGCAAGATGCAGATGGCAAGATGATAGTCACATCCAGTTTCCAGAAGCACTCCGAGTGGCTGAAATTTAAAAAAATTGAAAGGTTTTTTATAAAGACTCATGTGAAAATTTAGGCTAATTTTTATGAAAAATAGGTAAAATTCCATAAAATTGGAGCTAAAATTCATCAGATTTAAGCAGGAATTTATGTGTCTTAGCGGCATAATTATTTTCAAAGAATACCTAAAAGTCGTAAACTTTAAAATACCGTATTTGCTTTAATAGAAGCCCACCCTATACGTACACTTTGAATTCAAATATCTAGGATCCCGTGAAAGATATCAAAAATGTGTCAATAGGGTTTCCATTTGGAGGGCGATTCACCCGCCCGCACCCACCCGGGGGTCTCACCCCCCGCGGCCCCCGTTGACCCCCCGCGAACATTTACGTGAGGAAAATATTATCTTTTTTGTAGTTTTTTGATTTGAGAAACTCAGTTTTTCTTGGAAAATACGTGATTATCTTTTAAAATTTTATTAAAATTCACACGCATTTAATTGCGGGGGGCCGCGGGGGTCCGCGGGTGGGAGCCCCCCGGGTGGGTAGTGGGTAGCCCGCTTCTTCACTCGCCCAAATGGAAACCCTATGTGTCAACTAATAAAATATTGATAATATTATGATAAACAAGTTATTAGTTTACAACTTTTCAATATCTCTTACAGGAACCAAGATAAATTAGCTCAAAGTGCACGTAAAACTAGCTAGAAGCTAAATTTAGATGTTTTTAAAATTTTTTTTTTTTTTTTCAGATTTAAAATTTTTTTAGCGATTATTAACGATTTTAAGGATTTTTTTCAGATGTTTTGATTTTTAAAGTAGGTATAATTTGGTCCAAACGTTCTTTATTTTATTTCTGTTGAAGGAGAAGGAAATGGAAACAAAATTCTGGTTATTTTTTAAATAGAACACACTGTATTATGTCTGTAAAAATGCACAAAACGTTTTGTTCAAAAAAATTTTTTTTTGAATTATACAAACTTGATTAATTCAAAATCGATTGAAATTTGAAAAAAAAAACTTGAAATTAAACTTGAAATTTGAGATTGCCGAAGTCTTGTGATTTGTAATAACGTACAACAATATTCAAGGATTTTATTTAAACATTCAACACCTATTCTCCTTAAGTATCGCTTTAAAATCATCATGAATTCTGACATGGTGCATTTCACAGATCATCATTTCTTCCAGAAACTTCTGTTCAGATTTCTCGATAAGTTCCAGTGTTTCTACAGTATCCAACAAACGCATTTCTTCAAAGTTTTTGTCGATTTGATAGTTTTTCAATTCTCGAAGTATCACTTTTTTGATATTTCGGCATATTTCTTCACATTCTTGGGAGATGTTTGTGTAGGCTGGAAAAAACATTGTGATTTTTTTGAAATTTTCGAAATCTGAAATTCTCTGTTCCTTATATTTTGAAGATCAGAAATCATCTGAGTTTTAAAATATCTGAATCTAAATTCTCAAAATTACAGGATCTAAAATTATGGGATCTAATTCCAGGATCTAACAAATTAGGCCTTGAACTATAGAATTTCGAATTTAACTTTACGAAAAAAACGTATTTCTTACCATTATCAAAAAACAATAGCCAAACAATTGCCATCAATTCCTCATTTTCCAATTTTAATCCTATGATTGGGGGCACAATTTGGGAGTAAAATGTGCTCCAAAACGGTTCGAAAACTCTGAAAACCCTACATTTTTCAAAAAAAACAAATTTCGAAAATTACCTTATAATTTCGTTGTTTGACATCTCTTTTCCTTCCTTAAAACATCCACCATACCAACCAACGATCATTTTCTCATAATTATTTTTCTTCATACTTTCGTAATCTTCTGTGTTTTTTATACAGTCAAAAATTGGCCATATCTGCCAGAATTTGAGTATAAAGTGTCGAAGAAGAGCTTTCTGAAAAGTCCTCGGAATCAAAGTTTCTGAAAAAAAAACCAACCCTATCTGAAATTTTGAGTTTCCTGGTAGCCGGAAACATTTTATCTGTCATATTCCATATCAGTTCGGTGTCTATTTTTGTCCAACTGGTCACCATAAAAAGGTTATATTCATTCATTTCGATAGCAGTGTTTTTTAATCGAAGTTTTTCGAATTCTTGCCAACTCGGAATTGCTGATTCTAGGTTGGAAGTTGTACGAGGAATTATGCGAGCCTAAAAAATGAAGACTAAAATAAAAATTAAAAAAAGCAAAACTTGCAGCTATCAAATCTTCAGGCTGTGAACTTGAAATATCCATGGCAATTTTATCCCGACAATGTTGAATTTCTAAAACAGATTCTGATACTGATTGTGAGAGCCAGGACATTTCAAAAAAGCAAAAACCCTGGAATAGAAGGACCCAGACACTGTCAAATTTAAGCTCAATTATCTCACTTCCTATGCAAGATATCGCAAATTTGTGAACTGATAAAGTGTTCGTGATATTATGATAAACAATTCATCAGTTGACAATTCATCAGTTGATGAAGAAAAGTTGTCAACATAAATTGTTTATCATAATATCAAAAATGTTCTGTCAGTTGACATATTTTTGTTATCTTGAATAGGAGTTGAAATAATTCAGCTCAAACTTGAAATTGAAAGATCCCTGTACTACAGGTTTTACGGTAATTATTAATTTTAAAAAACTCACTATCCGGTGTCATTCCAATTTTCAAACACTTTTCTATCCGACATAATCTGCATGGATGAGATTTCTTCGTTCGTTTTTTGCAGTTACAAATTTTATTGATTTTTGGAGAGACAAAAAATCGACGAAAAAATGCAGCACATGCTCTGAAAAAATTTAATTTGAATTTATGGATTTTTAAAAAATTCAAATTGCTCACCTACAAGAAATGCCACCAAAATGAGGTTCAGAATCTGGAGATCCACAGACGAGACACATGAATTTCTGGAAGAATTTTTGGAATATTCTTTCAAAAAAAAAAACGAAATATTAGTGCTGAATTTTTAGCAAAAGCGTATGTTTTATTGCTCAAAAATCTGTTTTAATGGTCTTTCAAAAAGCCCCAAGTGTCAAAAGGTTTTCAGAAGATTCAGAAAGTTTACTTCTCTCTTTTTTTTCAGATATTTCAATTTTTGTTTCTCAGAATTACCGTAAAACCTGCATTAGAAGGGCCCTCTAATAAAAGGTCCCCCTCTAATTGAAGGACCCCTGTAATAGAAGAGTTCTCCGGAGGTACATTAGAACTATAGAACGGCAGGTCCTTCTAATACAGGCTTTACGGTTTACCTAATAACAAAACAAAATGAATCGAAGAGACCTGTGAAAGAAGAAAATGCACTCGACTTTGGACATTTTTCGGAGATGAGAGGGCCAGATTAAAATGAGACAAGAAGAAAAGAACAAAAGAAAGAGTAGAGATTTGTAGATTACGTAATAAGGAGAATAGGAGTCAAAGGAACCTTTGAACTTTGAGATATTGGTAAAAATGGAGAAGAACTGAACACAACGTTAAGGGCTGCTGACGACTTCTAAAGAATAGTTACTTTGGAGGGGAAGTCCAAGGTACGAAATTATAAGTGTTTTTTTTTTCAAAATGAGCCTTACGAAAATTAGATAACCTACTGAATGATAAGGATTACGATTTGACGGTGTTAAAACAAAGATTTAGCTCAAATTTCATATAGAATTTGAAAACAAATGTATTCGAGCATACTAATGAATGTTCACTGAGATGAACATTTTTAACTGAATCAGTTGGTGTTATATCATGTTTATCTTTTTTATCTTTTTTCAACATTCACTTCATTTTTCGCATATTGAATCATTATTTGTCGGTGGGAACTTTTAAAAACTTCCGTTTCTTGTATCCTACGTATTATAAACACAATCATACACAGAATGAGACACACAACCGTCCTTTTCGAACCAATTTATCTCAGCTCTTGTAAAAGGTATGAAAAAGAGGTCAACTGGCAAAATGCAATTGATATTATGATAAATATTTTGACAGTTACTTTTGATGCTTTTATAGGAACTGAGTAAAATTGGCTTAAAATTGATGGTTAGGGAGCCCTGGCAAATAAATCATGAACTTTTTTTTGCCGCAAAGCTTTCTAGGTTATTTTCTCAGGTTATAGAGTTTCTGATCACTTTGAAAAATTTGAAAGGTGCAAAACAGACTTAGATTGAAAACTTTACATTCATTGAACTTTTGGAAAATTCCTAGTTTTTCAGCGTTTTGACGATTTCTGAGAGACATATTTTTCACGCTTTCAGTACAAAAACGGGTCACAAAGACGTTTTCAGAAATGAACAAATAGCTGAAAAGCTAGGCATTTTCGAAAAATTCTGTGAATGCGAAGTTTTTAATCTAAGTCAAGGAAATGGATGGACAACTCAGGAGAACTGTTGATTGGTTGCGATCAGAGATTTCAGAGATTCCGATTCTTCAAACTTTGGACGATAACGTTTCACACGCCGACTTACAATATACCTTAGACAGTTTAACACCTACTTGGAGACTCAAAGTTTTCAGTGAAACTATTGAAAGACTTCGATTACAAATAAAAAAGACTTGTGATGAACTACGAATTGTAAAAGGCTCATGGATCGATTTACAGCATGCTATGAGTTTCAATTATACAAGTCTGGCTCTTTATGGAACGGAATTAACTAATCAAGATTTAAACACGATTATCAAGAGTTGGATCGAAATGAAATGGTGTTTAAACCTGATCTGTTCCAAGGTGAATTTGGTGGATCCCGATAATTTTTTCGATGTCGCGTTAGGAGATATAAGCCATGAACGAGGAGAGCCAGTTACGCTTCCGTGAGTTGAAGAGATTATTCAAATCTTGTAGTTTTGTAAATCCTATAATTTTTAGTGATCCTGAGTTCATACTTTTGGACGGAGGAGTCAACATAAAACGGAAGAATGGGTTGATGGGGTCTGTTCACCTATTAGATTCTCCGTTTGGGATAATTATGAGACTCAAAGCTGATTGCTGGTCTTAAAAAACGATTTTTCACTGTGTGATAACTCTATGAAATGTTATATTCAACCAGCATGTTTGCCGCGCCTCCGGCGCTTCAAGCCACTGGCTGGTGCGCCTTCGGCGCAAATTAACCTAATAATTTTCTGTTCATCGCTTCGCTCCTCATTCTTTCTTGAACAACATTTTATATTCAACCAGCAAGCTGGTGCGCCTTTGGCGCGAAAATGCATTAAAATATTTATAGAGTATCATGAAATATGAAACGAAGGTCATGCATAATTTTTTTTAAAACTTCATAACCGATTTTCTTTAAGAATCTCTTTGAAATCATCATGAATTCTGACATGATTCATTTCACAGACCATCAAATGCTCCATGAATTTCTCCTCAGCCTTCTCAACGAGTTCCAAAATTTCTACAGTATCCAAAAATCGCATGTCATGAAAGTTCCGGTCGGCTTGATAGTTTTTCAGTTCTCGAAGAATCACTTTTTTGATATTTCGACACATTTCTTGGCATTCGGGTGAGATGTTGGTGTGTGCTGGAATTTTGACAGATTAAACAAAAACTGTTCAATTTAAAGACTTACCAGTGTCAAAAAACAACAACCAAACTATTGCAATTAACTCTTCTTTTCTCAATTTTAAGCCAAATATCGGTATGGCGGTATTTGATAAATAATGATTCCAGAATGGTTCAAAAGTTCTGGAAATCAAAGTTTCAGAGACTTTTGAAAAGTTAAACTAGCCTAAATATCTCCTTATCTGACATTTCTTTTTCCGATTCAAATGATCCTTTGTACCAAGAAGTGACCATTTGAAAGTAGTCATCTCCATCTTTCAGTGTGTAATGTTCCGAGTTTTCCAGAATTTCGTCGAAAATTGGGTTGATTTGCCAGTTTTTGAGAATGAAGTTTCGAAGCATTGCGGACTGAAAAAACAAAAGCTTTAGTATTACACTTTCAATTGTAAACCAATTTATCTTGATTCCTGTTCAAGATATAGAACAGTTGTCTACTGATAAATTATTTATCATAATACCACCAGTATTTCATCAGTTGACACATTTTTGATATCTCTTATAGTGACCGAGATAATTAAGCTTAAACTTCACAGTGTGGGGACCTTTCTATTACAGGTTTTACGGTAAAAAACAACATTCCAAACCCTCACCCTATCAGATTTTCCTAATTCCCTCATTGTCGGAAATAAATCCCGCACCATATTCCATACAAGATTCATATCATCCTGTGTCATACAAGTAATGTCATAAATATTCTTCCATTCTTTCTCTCCTTGTTTCGTTCTCGTATCTCTCATTTCTTTGAAATCCTGCCAACTTCGAAATGCGAAATCTAATTTAGCAGTTGCTCGAGATATTATTCCGCCCTGAAAACAATTTTTTGGATACCGGGAGGCCAAAATTTAAATTTTTGATTATTAAACTTACATTCAAGGAACTGGACGAACTTGGCACATTCTGCAAACATTTCAGAACTCTTATTCCTTGCAAATCTGGAAAATGAAAAAAATTTCATTGAATATTTTTTTTAAAAACTAACACTTCGGAGTCATCCCAACCTCCAGGCACTTGTCAATTCGGCATTTTCTGCACGGATGTGATTTTTGGGTTCTTTTTTGACATGTACAATTTTTCTTCATTTTTGGAGATTCGAAATAGCGACGGAAGAATGCGGCACAGGCTCTGGAAATGTTTTTTTTTCAGATTTTCAGAATTTCGGAATCTCAAATTATTAGAAAAAATCTTACCTACAAGAAACACCTCCTAAATGAAGCTCAGATTTGTTAGAACCACAAATCGGACACATGAAAATCTCCGAAAAATCTGAAAATACAATATCTGACATGGAACTCCGGTTCTTCAAAATAAAAAGGACAAGACATAAAAAAAAAAGAAAACAATTTTTTTCAGATTCTTCTGATATTTCCAGCATTGTAAAAGTTGAGATTCATTTTTAAGTGTTATTCTAATTTCCAGCGTTTTTTGTATTAAAAAACGATTTTTTGGTTGCTTTGGAAAAAAATAGAAGCAAGAAATTTATTTAAAAGTGGTAAAAACATATTTTCGAATCCGGAAAATGAAAATTTCCATACTGCAATATCAGATTCAAAGCTTGAAACCAGTGATTCGGGCAGCTTCTAAGAAACACATTGTCTACTTTGACCAAATTTATCTCGGTCCATGCAGAAGATATCAAAAATGGCTAACTGACAAAATGTTCATTAGAATTTTAGAAAAGTTTTGTTAACTGATCATTTTTTGATTTCTCTTATAGGAGCCGAGATGAATCAGGTCAAACTTTACAGTGTGGGGAAGTTACAGATTTCACAGGAAACTGCGTTAACGGTGATATGTTGGAATTACCGGTCTTACGGTATTTTTCAAACTATAACCTTCACTTGAAAAAATTCCAATAATATTCCTGAAATAAACAATCATCTGAAAATCATATTTTGTATAGATTTTGAAAAAAAGGATTTTGAATTCATACTGGTCGATGCACCATGTAACCAGTTATTAGTCACATTAAACAAGTCAAACATTAGTTTGTAGTTTTGCAGTTTGTAGTTAAACCCCATACTTAAAATCAAAATAAGTCATAGAACGAAATCAAAATCCCCAAAAATGTTAAAACAAAAAATAGTGCTTCACAGTTTTTGCAGAGCGCAACATAACGATTTTTGATCAGCCGGTGCAAAAAAAAACAAGGAAGAACGACCATATTTGAACAAAATGTTCCGAAAAACATGCAATAAAACTTTTCTGGGAAGAGTGGTGTTTTTTTGAAGTGGAATTCGTTCTTCGAAAAGTCACATTTTGCCCTTTTTAATTGATCAAAAATCATTCTCAATGGACGTCTTTCTTGTCAGGAATTGCACGAAAAAGGACAAAACATTTGCGCCGCAGAATAAAAATGACGTACTCGGAAAGGCGAGGATGGATATTGTATTTTACGGAGATGTGCCAGAGAGATAGTACAGAGAAGATTATGATCAAAAAGAGACCAACTAAAGGGGGAAAAATTCCAGGGAAGGTACAGTAGGAAATTTGGAATCAGGAGGGATGAAATTGATGAAATTGAAGAAAAGTTGAAGCGTTGTTAACAGAGGAAGAACTTAAAAAATTGAATAACTCAAAAAAAAGTACCAACTTTTTTGGTCTAATTTCTGATCAAAATCTTCATGTTTCTGATTTTTTCAAAATTCATCTCAATTTTTTTCTTTTTCAAAATGTTTTAATGCGGCAAAACATTCATTTATCATGAATAAATGCTTAAAAAGTTACAATTTTTACAGAAACATACAATAAATTACCTATAGTTTCTCACAATCATGACTAGAATCTGGACAACAACCAAAATTTTTAAAAGTCGAAAATTCAATATTTATTCTCCTTGATAATTGCCATGAAGTCGTCATGTACCCGAACGTTGTGCATTTGACAGAGCAGCATTTCCTCAGTGAACATTTGCTCTCCTTTTTCAAAAAGTTCTAGTGATTCGACGGTTTCGATGAATCGCGACGTATCATCGAAATCTCGATCGATTTGATAATTTTTCAATTCTCGAAATATCACTTTTCGAATGTCTCGACACATTTCCATGCATTCTGGAGAGATGTTTGTGTAGGCTGAAAATGAAAAATGTTCTGAAATTCTTATATTCTTAAATTCTTCTGGAATTTCTGGAATTTCTGGAATTTCTGGAATTTCTGGAATTTCTGGAACTTCTGGAATTTCTGGAATTTCTGGAATTTCTGGAATTTCTGGAATTTCTGGAATTTCTGGAATTTCTGGAATTTTTGAATTTACGAATTTTTGAGTTTTTGAATTTTTGAATTTTTGAATTTTTGAATTTTTGAATTTTTGAATTTTTGAATTTTCGAATTTTTGAATTTTTGAATTTTCGAATTTTTGAATTTTTGAATTTTTGAATTTTTGAATTTTTGAATTTTTGAATTTTCGAATTTTTGAATTTTTGAATTTTTGAATTATTTTTTCAAAAATTGAAAACTCACCATTATCGAAAAACAGCAACCAAACAATTGCCATAATCTCTTCCCTATCCAAATTTAGTGCAATAACTGGTCCAGCCACTTTTGTACCAAATGATCCCCAAAACGGCTCGAATATTCTAAATTTCACTTTATTTGAAAAAAAAATTCCAAAAAATCCAAACCTCAAAATTTCCTTTTTCGACATTTCCTTTCCATCCAAAAATGATCCTTCGTAAAATGACACAATCATTTTTTCGCCGGCTTCTTTGTCCATTTTTTGAAAATACGCCGCATTTTCAATGAATTCCAGAATTGAAATAATTTGCCAGAATTTCAGCACGAAATTTCGTATCAGAGCTGCCTGAAATTGTTTTTTGCATTTTTCTTAAATCTCCAACAAACCTTATCAGAGTCGTCGAGCTTTCTGGACAACGGGAACATTTTATCAACCATTTTCCATGTCAAATTGATATCCATTCGTATCATACAAGAAATTTCATAAATGTTCAACCAATCCGTTTTTTCGCGACTATTTTCTTTTCGCATTCGTTCGAATTCGTGCCAATTCGGAATAGCGAATTCCAGGGTTGAGGTGGTACGAGGGATGATACGGGCCTGAAATCCGGGTTTTTTGAAATTCGCTCAAATCTATTTTTAAAAAAATTAAAATTTTTGAAGCATAAACAGTTCTGTTCAATTGTTTTTCAGTTTTTGAAATTTTCTCTGGAGCTCTCACAACTTATGGGATATTCTCTCTTTTTCGGTCAATTTTTTAAACCACCCTTTCATATAAATTTATGAAAATTATTAATTTTCAAAAATATTTTTTTAAGTTGAATAATTTCAACAAATTTTCAGTTTCGTTCACTTCCAAAAACTCCGATCTACCTTTCGTCATTCAACATTAAATTTTTGTGAAAGTTCGCAATTTTTTTGGATTTTTTCACAGCTTTTTTTTCAGTGAAAAATAGCTGACGTTGAAGTTCTGGAAAGCAGGTTCAGAATGTTTCAATTTTTCTGAAAATTTCAGAATAAACTGAACAGAGTTAGAGCTTCATTTTTATAGTTGACAATAGTTGACAATTTCGTAAAAATCCATCCAAATGAGATAAGCGGTTTCAAAGTGGCGCGTCAAATGTCATCAGAATAGAAATTAGTGAAAACAAATTTACGATTTCAACATTTTGAATTTGCATGTTCTGAATCAAAAGTTCTGAGCAGAATTTTGAGATTTTAAAAATAGAAACTCACTGCTAAAAGTGATGTTGAACTTCCAGATGGTGTGTTTTGGCACACTTCCATAGTTAGATTTTTGTCGCGGAATCCTTGTAGTTCTGGAAACTTTTGAAGATTTTTTTTGAGATTTTTAAATTCTAAATTTATATCATTCTGGAATACTTTTAACAATACGCAAAAAGTTCGATTTCAGACGAGACTTGAACTTTTGGATTCAGAATTTCAAATTTTTTTTTAATTCCAAAAAACTCACTATCCGGCGACATTCCAATTGCGATACACTTTGCAATTCGACATTCTCGGCATGGATGGGATTTAATTTTTCGTTCTTTACATGTACATTTTTTGGTAATCTTTTTGGATTGGTAGTAACGACGGAAGAAGGCGGCGCAGGCTCTGAAAATCCAGGAAGATTTAATTAATTTAAAAACCGAGAATTAAACTTTTTTGAATTTTTCTAAAATTAAAAAGACTTTTGATTTTTTTTTCAATTTTTTATTAATGTTGAAAATTCTCACCGACAACAATGCCCTCCAAAATGTGGCTCGGATTCAGCGGAGCCGCATACAAGGCATAGTGTCATTGATGGAAGCTGAAAACTGGAATCTGGAGAATTTTCGATTTTTCGAAAAATAAAAGAAAGAAATTCAAAAAGTTGGAAAAGCAGCTGGAGACCTGTAGATCAAAAATTGTTGGCGGCTAGAAAATATTTCCAAAAACGCTGGGAAATCAAAGATTGAAAACTAGCAGGTGTATCAAAGAGAGAAAACAAATATAAGGGGGAAATTATTTGGTTTATGAGACTGCTCAAAGCTCATAGAAAAAGGAGGAAATGCTCATAGAGCGATAGGAAAATGTAGATTATGTGTTTCTTTTTTTGCAGACAGGAAAATGTTATTTGAACAGAAAACATACACAGACTAGACTACAAATTAAAATGTGACCTACAATTCTTCAAAATTCGTGATTTTTTGAATTTCAGTTTTCGAATTTCTGAAAGTTAAAATTTTAGAATTTCAGAATTTCAGAATTTCAGAATTTTAGAATTTTAGAATTTCAGAATTTTAGAATTTCAGAATTTTGAAAATTTTGAATTTTGAAAAATTGGAATTTCAGAATTTCAGACTTTCAGGATTCCAGGATTTCATGCCTTCAGAAAAAACGATTCCAAGTAAAATAGAGGACTTAACTTATCAAAATTTGAGAGTTTTTGAGTTTTTGACCTTAAAGTTCGTTAGTTCTGGATCTCTGAAATTCCAATTTTTACAAAATCTTAGAAAAATTCTGATTTTTAGAACTTTTCAAAAATAAAAAAATCGATGCTATCTTCACAGAAAATTCCTAATTTTCAGACAAATTCAATGACTAATTGTAAAAACTGTAATTGCAAAAAAGAACTTGTATCCTTTTTGAACAAAACGTCATTTTTTGGACAAAAAATCTGTCCAAAAAGTACAGTTCAGTTGACACCTACACAGAAAAATACGTGCCGAATAGAGACATAAAAAGGGAGAGAAAAATATCGAAACTCGTCATATGAACAATCAATGCGACAACCCCACGTATTGGGAATATAGAAGAGAAAATTGGAAGTTTTCATGTTTCAGAAGAGGTTTAGAACGTCAGAAAGAAACAGGTGGAAAGTCGAGAGAAAATAGAGTATATTTCTTGTCATTTGATGTTTGTAGACTACTTTTGTAGTTCTGAGAGAAAGAGAGAGAGAGAGAGAGAGAGAGAGAGAGAAAACGATGATAATGATATCAGAACATTTTCTCTTATCTAGGGGAAGAAATAGGAAATTTTTGGTCTAATGAAACTTTTCCAATTTCCAAGAGAAGCGGAGGTGGAGGGGGGAATTCGGACTCTGAGAAAGTTCATAGAAAAAAAGAAGTTTGGAGTTTGAAAATTATTATTTTTTGAAGTTTCTCGAAATTTCGATTATTTTATGCTTTGAATATTTTAAAGTTTCTGACATTTCTGACATTTTTTGATATAAAAAATTGATTTCCAGATTTTCAGGATTTCCTGTAATTGTTGATTTTTCTGAATTTCTGGATTTCCGAATTTGCGTATTTTTGATTTATTCAGAATTCGGAAATTCAAAGAACAAAAATACTTACCACTTGTTCAACAATCTCCATATTATCATAGAGAACTATAAAAAAAATGGTAAACAAAAACAAAACCAAAAAGATCGCAAAAAAAAATCAGTGAATTTAAAACGAGAACTAAAGGAACAAATGTATCTGATAGTTTTAGATGGAAAACGAAGATTAAAAAATAAGTGACGTCATCAAGAATTCTTTAAAATACGGGCGGTGAGAAAGAAGAACTTGTCGGCGATTTTTCCTTTCAAAAATCATGAGATCTAGATTCTTTAGATTTTTTTTCTAAAAGTCCATGGGAGATTTGAAAGATTAGTATACAAAAAGTCTAGTCAGAAAAGAATTAATGATCTTTGAAAAAGGAAATTTGATAGCCTTGCTCTTTTAAAGTATGCATTGAATTACAGAAAACAAATTTTCATGATGTAATGTCTGAAAAAAAGTTGTCTGCAAATCAGAGAAAAAATGAGGAAGGTGAAAAGGATTAAATTCAGTGCATTCAGACTTGCGGGTATAAAAGAAACACGTTACATCGGATTTCTTGATTTCAAAACAATTTTTTGTCAACATTAAAATTTTTCTTTTTTCCATGTACACATTTTTCAAAACTATAAAATGATTTTAATATGATCAAACAATATACAAAAGAAAAGAATAAACATTTATACCCCAGCCAAACAAGAAAACGAATATACAAAAGTAAAAAAGAAGATTCTGGATACAGGTGTCCTTGCGGAGATGAAGAGAGATAAGAAAATTGGAATCCGAGAAAAAGAAGATTTGGAAATAGATAATCTCGTTCTTTGGAGAGACCTGGATATGGACGAGTTGACTGAAATTGGGTATTTTTAAACTCAATCAGTTAGTTTTTTGAAAGTTTCAATACATTGAAAATCGGAATTTATTAGGTTGGCTAAAAAATAATGCGTGTTTTTATGATCAATTCAATTTGTTATAAAAAAGAAAGTAGACAAGACCAATTCAAAAGGTATTCGCCATCATCATCAGTTACTTGTCTCCAACGTCCGCGCAAAGAATGGATTCCGCTGTGAAAGAACTCCGTTGGCTGCGACTTAAAGTAGGCGACCACCCATTTTTCGGTCTCAACGCGGCTTTCAAAGTGGTTCTCGGCTAATAAGGGTGGCATCGATCTGAGTAAGTGTAAATCGGAAAGTGCTAAATCAGGGCTATTTGGCGGATGAGGGAGAACTTCTCAGCCCAATTCTTCGATTTTCTGCTGAGCGACTATTGACACATGGGGACGAGCATTACGAATGAATTTTGTCGTTGGTGTATTCACACCTTGACGTTTCAACGCTTGCTGCATTTGGTCTAATTATAATTGGTAGAGTTCAGTAGTGGCTGTTAGACCTTTTCCCAGAACTTCAAAATGTACAAGACTCTCGCTCTTCTACCATAAACACAGCATCACCTTCTTTCCGTGTATCTCTGTTTTCGAGTTGTTTTGGTCGGTTCTCCGGGGGACAACCATTGTCTATTTTAAGTAGTATTATCGTTTTGAATCCCTTTATCGTCCGACGTAACAAGGGAATCAAAAAAGGCGATATTCTTCGAGCGAAGAAGGAGAATTTCGATAAGTACGAGGAGAGAGTTCGTGTAGAAAAAACTATCCGCAATTGTTCTACTTTCCAATTTGTGCAAATGGCTTTCGATGGTACCATGAGTCCAAGGAAAATGTTCTGCAAGACTTCGAGTTGTTTGACAAGAATTAGATTCGTTTGCGTCCCTCGGGAGCTCACTGTCAATGATTTTCGGTCGAACGGTGTATTCAAGGTCTTCCAAGCTTTCATCGCCATTATGAAAACGTTTAAATCAGCGTCGACATTGATTCGCCTATAGAAAATCATGTTTGAATACTTTTGAGAGAGAACGAAGAGCTTCAGCGGCATTTTTGACCAACTTAAATTTATACCCTCCAGCGCATTTTTTGGCATGACATTTTCTAAATGAAATTCCTAATTGAAAAAACAAAATGACAAATTAAGATTATATATCAAACGATGCGCAAAGAAACGCTCTTTCGAATAAAACAAAGAGAAAGCAGAAATATTTTCTTTATGACAGGAAGGAAATTTTCTGGATAGAGAAGTACGTTCCGACAAACGCGCCGCGCATTATTTTTTAGCCAACCTAATAGAAGTTCGACCCGTAGATACAAGCGGGCTGGCCAGGGCATCTAGCGGGGGCTAATAACTTGTCCCTAGAATGAGATATCCAGACGGTTTTGGTACCAAATGATAGATCTCGACCGGGCCCATCACGCCTATATTATTTGAGCCGGATTCCAGACCGATAGCATGTCGAAAAATGTGTTTGAACGAAAAATCTGCTTTTTGGCAAGTTAGTCCAAAATTGTCATTCAAGCCCCGGTTTCGGCATGTTAACGGAATGGACTAAGGCCTGGATGATATAGGCGTGATAGGCCTTGTCGAGATCCATCATTTGGAAGCTAAACTCTCTAAATATCTCGTTCTAGGGACAAGTTATCAGCCGGCCCGCCATCTGCCCGGGGCAGCCCGCTTGTAACAATGGTTTAACCTTCCTGGATATTCCGGACACACGATTTTTTTTACTTTTTGCGTGACATTTTTCTATTTTTAAAATAATTAAGTGGTAATTTTATTTTTTCAAGCAAGGGTAACGAATAACAATTTCGAAAAGAAAATTTATTGGAAATTTGATATTTTACGCGATTTTTTCCTAATGTTCTATTCTATTTTTTGATACATTTTCACCAGATTTTCCTATTTTCAATTACGCAGAATTAAGAAATGTCACAAAAACTTTTTTTTTTAATAACCGGCCACTCATCATTTTTGAAAACAGATAAATGTTACGCAAAAAACTTACTATGAGCTTTCTTTTACGTTGAGAGAGTTTAAACTTCTTATTCACAGGGTAACGGCTGCACATGGTATATGCGTTGGCGCGGCGCCTCATATGGACGACATAGGTACACCGTTTGCGCGCATATAGTACGCTATATGCGCGCACGCGCCATCGAGATCGGGCATGACGCGTCCATATTTCATCTACTATTTCAGGTCGTATTGGCGATGCTCTTATACGGATTAATTCATCTAACTATAGTTGTAATAAGATGTGATTTTGTTCAGATCTTCCAATATCGTTCATTTTCCCTTTCAGATTTCACAGAGTGACCATTTTTCCAGTTTTCACAGAATTTTCTCACAACAAGAAAAATTATGACAGGAAGTTAAAAATAACATAATAAATTTTTCCTTCAAAATTGTGATATAGAAAACTTGAAAAAAATTCAACAAAGTCTTGAAATTGGCATTAATTCGCATAATTTTGTTTTCGAAATAATTGTGTGTTTCTCGGATTTTTTCCTACTTTTACTTCGTAATAATCGGAAAACTTACCAACCAACCTTCATGCCACCTGAAAAGTATATTATTCCGCTTATTCCGAAGTAAAACAGAAAAGTCCTAATTTCAAGAAAAACCGGATTTTGTCAAAAATTTTACCAATTTCTTTACTAAGAACAAGTTTTATTTTCGTTAGCCATAATTTTTAGATGTGAAAACAGTGAGAAGTTCTTTGAAAGCAGGAAATATGATCAATATGATCGAAAAATTGATCAAGATCGGCGGTGAAAAATTTTGCTAAACAACGCGCACTAGCGTAATAACGGAGTGTCGTTGGGGGACTGCCGCTTTCATGGGAAAAGCGTACATGCTATATGGATGCTATATGGGTGCGACCACCGGCGACCAGTCGTGCCCAGCGCCGACGCATATAGCGCGCACGCGCTACCCACGGAATTATTATGGGCACACATAGCATTGGAAATTTTTGAAGTTTATTCCAGGACACGTCACTGTCGTAAATCAAGCGCGCCAAAATACCGTAGCACGAGTCCGACTTCACCAACAGCGCAGAATGATCCATCTCCAGCAGTTACTACTCCTCCGACCACTGGCTGTCCGATGCAAGCCGCAGAAGTCAACGCTCCAGCTGAAACAGCAAACAAGTATAACTTCAATTTTGTATCCCATGATATAAAGGCTATTTTTCTAAAAATGGTTTTTGCTGCTTCCAGCCGAGAATGGCAGAAATCGGATCACTAGTTTGTCAGACGTGTAAAATTTGACTGAAACCGTCCAGAATTGATTTCAAGAAACATCTTATTCAATTTTACGCAATATGCATCTGAAACCGATCAGGAAACGTTTCTCTTCAGAATTTGAAATGTTTTGAAAATTGGAAAGTTCTGAGATTGCCTATGAGTCAGATGAAGATAGTAATCAGAAGGAACCAGAGCGCTGAAAGTTTTTTTTTAAGGTACAGTAATCCATCAGGTTCTCAAAATTCGAGTTTTCTACTTTTTCGGAGACTGATTTTGTTGAATTTCTTAACTCCATTCTGAATGCCTCTTTCAAAAAATGATTCATATGTTTTGTAATGATTAGTCTTATCATTTCAACACATCACTCAATTCAGGTGGATGACACTAGTTACACAAGTTCGGAACGACCTGAAAAACGGTCATACGTTAAAATACATCTGAAAAGTGATAAATGCTGATAAGAATAGTTGTAACATGGGTAATTTGAAGACTCTCCGTAAACAAAAAATCCCAAAATTAAGACGAACATAGTTTTTGTTCGGAAAATTTCGAAAGTCGACTTCCGATCTGGAAATTTTAAGAAACGTGAATCAGAGCTCATTTAAAATATTAATGATCATACGATTTTTCCAAAAATGTTGAGGAAAGCAAAATGACATCAGAAACTACTATTTCAGAAACTGATTACGGTACTCTCTACACATAAAAGTTATTTTCAACAATTTTCAAAATTTCCTTTATCGAATATCTTAATGGTTTCCAAGAATTCAAAAAATAGTTTCTACAAAAAGAAATCCCCATTTTGCTGCTTTTGTTAAAAAATCTTTTTAACAAACATGGTCTCCGAATACATTTCAATCTCTCAATTTTACAGTTTCTGGACCAAACTTTTAGAATAATTTTATTGAAAGTATCAATTTGATACAAAAATTCATCAGCAATCACAGCAACTCTTTCTTGCCAAATGAATAGACAAGCCAACGATTCCCAACGAAAGGATCGCAGAAGAAACACAAAGCCATGCAGAGTATCCGAGCTGAAAATTGAAATAGTTTAATCAAGTTGTTAAGGATTTTTTGATAAATCTCATCGGAAAGTCTACCGTATTTCCTCTAATAGAAGCCCACCCAAGCCGTCAGCTTTGAACTCAATAATCTCAATTTCTGTGAAAGATATCGAAATTTTGTCTACTGATAAAATACTTGTCATATTATCACCAAGATTTTATCTTCAAGCTAAGTTTTGATATCTCTCATTGGAAGCGAGATAATTGAGCTCCAAGTGTACGTTCAATGGGCTTAGAAATTTAGAAAAAATACGGTATCAATCTTTCAAACAAAAAAAGACGAGTTTTTGAGCAAAAAAGGCTTTGAATCTTTTCAAGGAGGCTTCTCAAAGAAATAAAATTGTAAGTCAACTATCAGAGGTGCCGCACCGTACTCCCAAACTCACCGAAAACTTTTCGGCTCCATCACTATAAGTGGCGATATTCGCTCCAACCAGAATAACAGCAACGACAGTGAAGCCAATTACCATAATAGCGGCAAAAGCAATTGAATAGAAGAGTCGGCGGACTCGAGGTGTATATCCAAATCGGTTGATAATTATTCTGAAATTTATCAAATCATTCAGAGCCAAAAAACAAGGCTTCCGGTTCTATGCCCATTTCAGAGTCTCATGGAATTGGAGGAGCGAATCTAACCCGTTCAGGGGCCTCTTCGAAAAATTGGGTTTCCTTTTTTCGAAAAATGTATGCACCGGAAAAACTCACAAGTTGACAATATACCAAATGGAGAGGGTAATGAAGAAACAAAAGGAGGAGCAGATGAGAACACTTCCAGCTTTCAGCCATCCTGGATCGTCCTGAAAATACCAAAACGTTCCAAAAAATGAAAGATTTCCACTCACCTGATAATAAGGAACAATTCCAATTGAAGCACTAATAGAGTACCCTCTTTCGGTTACTGTATCTACAATCCATGCTTGCGTGAATACGCCGACACCATTTAGTGTGGCACAAATTCCGACTAGGAAACCAAGAGCAACCAATGAGCCATCCATTTTTTGATATAGAAAATGAATGCAACAGGAGGAGTTGTCCGAATAAATAGGCGAACTTTTTCGTTGGAGACTTGATGTCATTTCTCCGGGTTTCTTGTTATCAGTATCAGTACAGTTCGAAATTCATTGAGTCACTCGAGTAACTGCTGAATTTTATGAAATTGAATGATGGAATTTTGTGATAAGGGTCAAATATCGAGACCGTAGCAAATTTTCTCGCATACTGAGCCAGTCCAGGATCTGATATATCATCCGGAGATGAAATTTTCGAGCCTGGCAATGAAATACTGTCCTGAAAAGTGTCGATGTTTGTTCCGATGCACCCCCAGAAGGCCTATTTTGGAGAGTTTTTTTCCTGAGAAATCTCATTTGAGAATTCAGTTTATTCTCGCTCGAAATTTATTCAAAAACGGTTGTGCAAAATGAAAAAAATTCTAGAAGATTCTGTTTTTAAGCCAGATCCTTGAGAAGTTCTCGTTCGTGGGCCAAATAATGATGATTGGCATTAACCGATTGAGCTACGCCGTCGCACACATCTGCTACTCATTCATGGAAGGGTACGATAGATACATGAAAAGGTAAATGGTACAAACATCGATCACTGAACACCGCCAAAAAATGCACACAAAAAACTCCGATTTTATCCTCATCTAACAAGTTTTACTTCTGTCGTCACTTTCGTAGAAATCCTTGTACTCATTTGAATTTTATGAGCTCTGATTCATATTTCTTCAAATTTCCAGATAGGGAGTCACCCCAAATTTTGAGAATTTCTGGTCAAAAACCAATTTCGTCTTGATTTTGCGATTAATTGATAATTTGCCCACATTAAATTTGTTGGTTATCAGTTTGAGTCACGTTTTTGGGTGTATTTTAGTACGGGCTTACTGTATTGACAAAGTTTTTGCCCTTATATTAGAGAGATTTTTCTAATGCCGGTCCGCCGTTTAGTTATTTCTCATGGAACGAAACTTCATTTCTCAGCAATTTTCAAAAACATTCATCCTAAAAAACTCAAACCATATTGTTACCGATTTCCGGTTGAAAGTATAAACCGTATTAGATAGGTATTTCCCGAGGGCCCTTCTATTAGGGACAGTTTCTAATACAGACTGTACGGTTTTTTTTTCAATATTCAAACCCTCCGGCCAAACAAACAGATGAATCAGCATTTCGAAAAACGCTGAATCCATAAAAAGAGTGTCGCTAACAAATTGATAAAACCTCCATGACATAAAAAGGAATCAGGAAGAGCATTGATAAGACATTTGACTCTTCCTCTCACATTCAATTTCTGTCATTTTTACTACAATGAACGCGTCGTTGTTTCTTCTTGGGTTCCTAATTGTTATTTGCTCAATTCTGGATATTGTTGGAACTTATACACCTGGATGGATCGTAGGCAATGGGAATCTTCCAGTGAGTATGAACGTTCTGGAATCTTAAGCATTAAATTTTAAAAGATTTTGTTTTAAAAAACTGAGATTTCAGAACAATGTTTCTTAAAATTTTTTAAATGTAAATCTCATCAGGTTTTAACATGGATAGATGTAGCAGGTATTCTCATCAACCTTCCAGTTGGATGCTATATAGGAATGCTCATTATCTTTGGAGTCAATACGTAAGACTTGTTTTTCTTCCTTTCAAAAAACAATAATTTTTTCAGTAGATTAATATGTAATCAGGGATTCACAAATTCCAACCGAACACCTTTTTTAGTTATTGCGGGTCTTGCTCTTATAGCAATTGCATTAATTGTAGCATGTGTAATTATGGTTGCAGTTAGCCTCAATTCTTATTGTGGTCGCTGTGATTATTCTGTGAGTTTCACTTTTAATAGAACTCTATGAGAGACTGATAAAATGTTTGTTAGAACATTACTAACATTTTATCAGTAGACATCTTTTTAATATCTCTTCCAGAAATCGAGATAATTTAACTTAACGGTGGAGGGAATGAAGAAACAAAAGGAGCGGAACGACCTTTTTTGCTCAAAAACTCGTCTTTTTTTGTTTCAAAGATTGATACCGTATTTTTTCTAATTTTCTAAGCCCATTGAGCGTGCACTTGGAGCTCGATTATCTCGCTTCCAATGATAGATATCAAAACTTAGCTTGAAGATAAAATCTTGGTGATAATATGACAAGTATTTTATCAGTAGACAAAATTTCGATATCTTTCACAGAAATTGAGATTATTGAGTTCAAAGCTGACGGCTTGGGTGGGCTTCTATTAGAGGAAATACGGTAGACTTTCCGATGAGATTTATCAAAAAATCTTGATTAAACTTGATTAAACTATTTCAATTTTCAGCTCGGATACTCTGCATGGCTTTGTGTTTCTTCTGCGATCCTTTCGTTGGGAATCGTTGGCTTGTCTATTCATTTGGCAAGAAAGAGTTGCTGTGATTGCTGATGAATTTTTGTATCAAATTGATACTTTCAATAAAATTATTCTAAAAGTTTGGTCCAGAAACTGTAAAATTGAGAGATTGAAATGTATTCGGAGACCATGTTTGTTGAAAAGATTTTTTAACAAAAGCAGCAAAATGGGGATTTCTTTTTGTTGAAACTATTTTTTTGAATTCTTGGAAACCATTAAGATATTCGATAAAGATATTCGATAAAGGAAATTTTGAAAATTGTTGAAAATAACTTTTATGTGTAGAGAGTACCGTAATCAGTTTCTGAAATAGTAGTTTCTGATGTTATTTTGCTTTCCTCAACATTTTCAGAAAAATCGTATGATCATTAATATTTTAAATGAGCTCTGATTCACGTTTCTTAAAATTTCCAGATCGGAAGTCGACTTTCGAAATTTTCCGAACAAAAACTATGTACGTCTTAATTTTGGGATTTTTTGTTTACGGGGAGTCTTCAAATTACCCATGTTACAACTATTCTTATCAGCATTTATCACTTTTCAGATTTATTTTAACGTATGACCGTTTTTCAGGTCGTTCCGCTCCTTTTGTTTCTTCATTCCCCCCACCTTTATCTGATGGAACTCGAGATAATTGAGCTCAAAGTGAGGTCTGAAAAAGTGAAACGGCGAAATTCCATATTTACACACTGATCTAAATTTATTTCAATTACTGTAGCAGACTTTTGAAAAATTTGAGTATCAAAATATTTACTTCTCTAGAATAAGTTTGCCTTCGAAAATATGATTCATAATTTTGCTCCACATCTTGTCTTATCATTTCAACACATCATTGAATTTGGTTGAGTTACAAAGTTCGAACAGACCTGAAAAGCATAAATGCAGTTCGACCGTACTAAAATACACCATTTTTGATCACAAATTTTCAAAATTCAGGGCAACTCCCTATCTGGAAATTTGAAGAAATATGAATCAGATCTCATGGAGTTTGAGTAATCACAAAAATTTTTATGAGAGTGTCCTCACACTGATAGTTTTTGATATTTCTAACAGAAAATTAAATCATTGAGTTCAAACGCGAGTCGTCTATCAGAGCACTCGAATAACTCAAATTGACGCGAGTCCTCGATTCGGATCTCAGGATATTTGTATTTCTAAAATTTCGAGATTGTGAAATCCAGAAAATGTTTTTGAACTCCCTACTGGCAATTATCAGTGTTCAGTGAACATTTTCCCTGATTTCAGAAGAGAAGCTTTCAAAACTGAATATACGATTCGGGCTGTCAAATATCTCGGTCTTCTCAGTTTCTTTGCATTTGGAGTTTTAATTTTCACTACAGGACCAGTCGTTTCAATTACTACTGACATCAATGTTATTCAAAAGAAATACGAGGTAAAAAATTCCTAATTCATTTTTTAAATTGGTTATTCGCCAGGGTTCTATATAGTATCTGAAGTACTCTCTTTAATCATCTGGATAATTTCAATGTATTTGGCGAAAGCGTTTCGTTGTTGCAATCAGACACCACCTATAGATGCATAAATGTTTTGTTGAAAGTAATTGTTTATGCCGTGTGTATATTTTTTTTGCAAAATAAAATGAATTGGAAAATGGCAATTTACATAGGTTCAAGATTTTGCTGTTGATGAATATTCAGATCCAGAAAATTTTTATAAATGCAGAAAACCAAAAATTCCAACAATATCGGCAATTCGGAATTCACAGGAAATGTAGAAAAATAGGTACAGTAATCTTGATCCAGGATGTGAACAGTAATCTTGATCCAGGATGTTATTACTGATGAAAATTTAGAAATTCGAGGAAGATGAGAAATTTGAGAGATTTCAGGAAATTCAGGTTTAAAATCGTTCAGAGTTTCAGAAATTTCTGGAATCCCAAAAAACAGAAACTCGAAAATTTCTCTACACCCAAAAAAGTGACTCAAACTGATAAAAATTATTTTAATGTGAGTAATTATCAATCAAGACGAAATTGGTTTTTATTCAGAAACTCTCGAAATTCGGAGCGACTCCCTCTCTGGAAATATGAAGAAATATGAATCAGAGCTCATAAAATTTGAATGGTCATAAAGATTTTTACGAAAGTTTCGAGGAAAGCATAATGACATCAGACAAAAACGTCTCTTTCAGATTATGTTTGGCATTTTCAGGAGTGTAAGTTTGGTTGTTAAGTGTTATTTTTCGATAACCTAGCCTTTGGTTACTGTAGTCTTTAAAGAAGATAACTTCCGTATAGGCTCGATGACACCCTATAGCTATATTATCTCGATTCCTGCACAAAGCATAAAAAATGTGCCCACTATAAAAGTGCTCTGAAATTATGACACGCATTTTTTGATATTACCAATTTTTGCTTCGAGTGTGATGTCCACAGTACATCAGAAACGATAAAATCTTACCAACCACATTTTATCAATAGGAGTGACTAACTTTTTGATTCGACTGTCCAGAATATTTCAAACAGACAACTTCCCGGAGAAGTGACATCAAGAACACGAAAAATCCGTGATAAAGGAGTACTATATATTTTCCTATCGAACATTCCGAACTTTATAATTTTGCAAAAATGGATTGGAAGTTGTACGCTCTCGGTCTTATGCTAATTATCAGCTGGGCTGCTCAAGGAGTCGGATTATTCACACCACATTGGATGACAAATGATGGAGAGTCAAGGGGGATTCTTCCATGGCATTCGGTGAGTTAACAGACCTATCTGGGAATAATATATTTCTCAGTGGAGTGTTCAGAGTAAAATTAATAGCGGCTTGTTTCCTATGGTGTTTCAAAAACTGGCTGGCACGCCTTCTGCGCGATTCGACCTATTTTTTGGTTTGTTGCTCCGCTCTTCTTTTTTATTTCTCAGAAAGGCACTCCAAAAGCAACTTTATTTATTGAGAGAGAGAGAGAGAGAGAGAGAGAGAGAGAGAGAGCTTGATATCCTTATCAAATTAATGCAATTTTCGTACTTTCAGGGTGACACCGGATGGATTAAAGCTGCAACTGTTGAGCTTTACATAGCATTTTTGGCATTTATACCCGCGATTGGCTGTTATATGATTGCTGTGTAAGTCCCGAAAACTACTTCGAAATATGCAAATTTTTCTGTGTGTCCGTTTGTTTCGGTTTTTTTTCGATCAACTGAAAGGGACGAGGTCCCTTCATTAGGATATCTCAGAACTTTAAAATTTATGAAATTCCGAAACTCTGAGTTTTTATTCTCCAAAAAACTTCCTACTGGGGATTCTCTGTTTAGTGAGCATCATCAATGATTTCAGAAGAGAAGACTTCAAAACTGGATACACGATTCGGGCTTGCAAATATCTCCTTATTCTTGCTCTCATGGTATTTATATCTGCATTGTTCACTTCAGGAGCAGTCACTTTAATCAGAACGGATTTCAGTGTTCGGGAGAGGAAATACGAGGTAAAATTCAATTTTAAAAATTACTCGGGGAGTTTCAACTCAATTTGAAATTCATTTTTCAGATTGGCTATTTGCCAGGGTTCTGTTTAGGATCTGCAATACTCTCTTTAATCGTTTGGATGATTTCAATGTATTTGGGAAAAGGTTTTCGCTGTTGCAATCAGACACCACCTATAGATGCTTAACTTCTTGTTGAACGTTTTTTATGCTGGTGTCTCTTTTTTCAGAATTAAAGCGAAAATGACAGTTTACATGGGAGTCATGAACAAACATCTTGATTCAGGAATTGTTTTCGATAAAAATACAGACAGAAAAATCGAGCAACATAGAATATTCCAGGAAAAATCAGAACTTAGAATATCAGCGATTCCTGGAATGTCAAAAGTTTGAAACTCAAAATTTTCGAAATTTAGAAACTCGGACAAACCATCGAATTCTAAAATTGTGGCACCGTTTTCAGATGTCTGTCATTTTTCGAATTTTAAGAAATCCCAAAATCCGAAATTTCTGAAAATTCTACATTTTTTCTCTGAAACAATAAGGGTGAATCAACATCTAATATTAGAAGTTTTATTGCACACAATAAAAGAAAAAATGACATCAAAAATAAAACAAATAACTGATAAGGGCATACGAATTTGTTACTTGAATTTGCCCAGAATAGTTGATGAGAGTTCAAAAAATCAGATACTCAGTAAATTCCGTGAGAAATTCAGAAATTCAGAAATCTCAAAATTTTAAAAATTAGAAAATATTCAGAAATTCAGAAATTCAGAAATTCAGATATGCAGAAATTCAGAAATTCAGAAATTCAGATATTCAGAAATTCAGAAATTCAGAAATTCAGAAATTCAGAAATTCAGAAATTCAGAAATTCAGATATTCAGAAATTCAGAAATTCAGATATTCAGAAATTCAGAAATTCAGAAATTCAGATATTCAGAAATTCAGAAATTCAGAAATTCAGAAAATTTGAAATCTCAAAATTTTAAAAATTAGAAAATATTCAGAAATTCAGAAATTCAGAAATTCAGATATTCAGAAATTCAGAAATTCAGAAATTCAGATATTCAGAAATTCAGAAATTCAGAAATTCAGAAATTCAGAAATTCAGAAATTCAGAAATTCAGATATTCAGAAATTCAGAAATTCAGAAATTCAGAAATTCAGAAATTCAGAAACTCAGAAATTCAGAAATTCAGAAATTCAGAAATTCAGAAATTCAGATATTCAGATATTCAGAAATTCAGAAATTCAGATATTCAGAAATTCAGAAATTCAGATATTCAGAAATTCAGAAATTCAGAAATTCAGATATTCAGAAATTCAGAAATTCAGATATTCAGATATTCAGAAATTCAGAAATTCAGAAATTCAGAAATTCAGAAATTCAGAAATTCAGAAATTCAGAAATTCAGAAATTCAGATATTCAGAAATTCAGAAATTCAGAAATTCAGAAATTCAGATATTCAGAAATTCAGAAATTCAGAAATTCAGATATTCAGAAATTCAGAAATTCAGAAATTCAGATATTCAGAAATTCAGAAATTCAGAAATTCAGAAATTCAGAAATTCAGAAATTCAGAAATTCAGAAATTCAGAAATTCAGAAATTCAGAAATTCAGAAATTCAGAAATTAAAAAACTCAAAAAATTTGAAAACTCAAAAATTTGAAATCTCAAAATTTTAAAAATTAGAAAATATTCAGAAATTCAGAAATTCAGAAATTCAGATATGCAGAAATTCAGAAATTCAGAAATTCAGATATTCAGAAATTCAGAAATTCAGAAATTCAGAAATTCAGAAATTCAGAAATTCAGATATTCAGAAATTCAGAAATTCAGAAATTCAGAAATTCAGATATGCAGAAATTCAGAAATTCAGAAATTCAGATATTCAGAAATTCAGAAATTCAGAAATTCAGAAATTCAGATATTCAGAAATTCAGAAATTCAGAAATTCAGATATTCAGAAATTCAGAAATTCAGATATTCAGAAATTCAGAAATTCAGAAATTCAGATATTCAGAAATTCAGAAATTCAGATATTCAGATATTCAGAAATTCAGAAATTCAGAAATTCAGAAATTCAGAAATTCAGAAATTCAGAAATTCAGAAATTCAGAAATTCAGATATTCAGAAATTCAGAAATTCAGAAATTCAGAAATTCAGAAATTCAGAAACTCAGAAATTCAGAAATTCAGAAATTCAGAAATTCAGAAATTCAGATATTCAGATATTCAGAAATTCAGAAATTCAGAAATTCAGAAATTAAAAAACTCAAAAAATTTGAAAACTCAAAAATTTTAAATCTCAAAATTTTAAAAATTAGAAAATATTCAGAAATTCAGAAATTCAGAAATTCAGATATTCAGATATTCAGAAATTCAGAAATTCAGAAATTCAGAAATTCAGAAATTCAGATATTCAGAAATTCAGAAATTCAGATATTCAGAAATTCAGAAATTCATTACAGGTTTGTTTCGGTAGGCAACATTAAAACATATTACTGTAACTCCTTTCATTTTTTGTATAGTATTTTTGAAGATCTATATGAGCTTTAAAAGCCTAAAAGACATCCTTTCTTATGATATTCAGAAATTCAGAAATTCAGAAATTCAGAAATTCAGATATTCAGAAATTCAGAAATTCAGAAATTCAGAAATTCAGAAATTAAAAAACTCAAAAAATTTGAAAACTCAAAAATTTGAAATCTCAAAATTTTAAAAATTAGAAAATATTCAGAAATTCAGAAATTCAGAAATTCAGATATTCAGAAATTCAGAAATTCAGAAATTCAGAAATTCAGAAATTCAGAAATTCAGAAATTAAAAAACTCAAAAAATTTGAAAACTCAAAAATTTGAAATCTCAAAAATTTGAAATCTCAAAATTTTAAAAATTAGAAAATATTCAGAAATTCAGAAATTCAGAAATTCAGAAATTCAGAAATTAAAAAACTCAAAAAATTTGAAAACTCAAAAATTTGAAATCTCAAAATTTTAAAAATTAGAAAATATTCAGAAATTCAGAAATTCAGAAATTCAGATATGCAGAAATTCAGAAATTCAGAAATTCAGATATTCAGAAATTCAGAAATTCAGAAATTCAGAAATTCAGATATTCAGAAATTCAGAAATTCAGAAATTCAGATATTCAGAAATTCAGAAATTCAGAAATTCAGATATTCAGAAATTCAGAAATTCAGAAATTCAGAAATTCAGAAATTCAGAAATTCAGAAATTCAGAAATTCAGAAATTCAGAAATTCAGAAATTCAGAAATTCAGAAATTAAAAAACTCAAAAAATTTGAGAGTTCAAAAATTTGAAATCTCAAGATTTTAAAAATTAGAAAATATTCAGATATTCAGAAATTCAGAAATTCGGATATGCAGTAATGTCAGAAATTCAGAAATTCAGATATTCAGAAATTCAGAGATTCAGCAATTCAGAAATGCAGAAATTCAGAAATTCAGATATTCAGAAATTCAGACATTCAGAAATTCAGAGATTCAGATATGCAGAAATTCAGAAATTCAGAGATTCAGATATTCAGAAATTCAGAAATTCAGAAATTCAGAAATTCAGATATTCAGAAATTCAGATATTCAGAAATTCAGATATTCAGAAATTCAGAAATTCAGATATGCAGAAATCAAGAAATTCAGAAATTCAGATATTCAGAAATTCAGAAATTCAGAAATTCAGAAATTCAGATATTCAGAAATTCAGAAATTCAGAAATTCAGATATTCAGAAATTCAGAAATTCAGATATTCAGAAATTCAGAAATTCAGAAATTCAGATATTCAGAAATTCAGAAATTCAGATATTCAGATATTCAGAAATTCAGAAATTCAGAAATTCAGAAATTCAGAAATTCAGAAATTCAGAAATTCAGATATTCAGAAATTCAGAAATTCAGATATGCAGAAATTCAGAAATTCAGAAATTCAGATATTCAGAAAATCAGAAATTCAGAAATTCAGAAATTCAGATATTCAGAAATTCAGAAATTCAGAAATTCAGATATTCAGAAATTCAGAAATTCAGAAATTCAGATATTCAGAAATTCAGAAATTCAGAAATTCAGAAATTCAGAAATTCAGAAATTCAGAAATTCAGAAATTCAGAAATTCGG